AGGTGACGCAAAAATTTCCCCGTTGTGGGATCAATAAAGTCTTATTATAAAAATATTCAGCTAAACACTAAATGTCATATCATTTGCTAACACACAGTCAACAAAGCTGATATTGGCTGATATATTAGTCCATCTCCACTTTATAACATTTTTAAATACACTGAGTTATAGAGGGGTATCTGGCACTTTTACAAACAAGAAAATTGCAGTCTAGGAGACAAGCATGAGACTGATAGCATGGCACTAATATTAACTTACACAGCAGCTTCCTCCAACATGCTCAACCACTTCTTATTATGTGCGAGAAGGGGAGAGAGCCAGAGAAAAACAGTCTGGATTTAAGGTCCCAAAGTGCAATAACTAGATGAGCAAGAGTCACAGCCAGCTTGCTCTTGCATTATTTTCCAAAAGATTAAACTCCAAATTTGTGTCATTCAAGGCAAAATATGAGGAATAATAAAGGAGCAGTAAATGCAGTCATTTCAGCACCCCATCTTACACTTGACTTTTTTTTTTATACGAGGACAAAATGTTAAAACAGCTGATGAAGGACAGCTCAGGAGATTTTAAAGTCCAAAATACCAGCATAATCCTGTGAGTGTGATTTATGGCAGTCTAATCCTATACGCTCGTCCAGACACAAGCTTGCGGTCGCTATTAACACTTGTGCTGCTTCGGGGGTTTTCATGAAGCCAGCGCAAAACAGCTTTGCAATTTGTTCACCACACCCCATCTGCTTCATCAAGCAGCAATATTCCCTTTCTCACCAGCACGACTTGCAAATCACATCCAGAGCGGGGCAAGCTTGTCTCCTTTTACAGAGCGGTGGTTTCCTTGCATTCACTGCGGCCAGCCGGGATATGCTATCTAGACAATACCTGAAGGGGATGCTGAACAATGACTTGATTGAGAAAAGACACAATTGAGTTCACCTAGACATTCCACAGCAGATGTGAGGGCGACAGAGTATCGACAGAGGGCCACTGGTGCTGCTGGTTATTAATAGACAGTCAATGGGGGATTCTGCTTTGTTTAGATACAAATGGGGTCTCCTGAATGGGACAGCAATGACAGGATATGCATGTGTGAAGACAAAACCACAAGCAGAAGAAAAAAAATAACAGAAGCAACTTAAGAGGAAATAGCAGAAAAAACACACTAGTTTATACCTCAGTGTTTCTTTAATAGCAACAAGAGTTCAAAATAAAAAATAAAATAAATGGTCCATGATCCCGACCCCTCCAAAAAAAACAAATCACTCACTTCACTCATTACATGAATGATCTTTAAAAATCGGACATCACACTTCAAACACACCGTACTTACAGAACTGGAGGCTCAGGCTGAGGATGGCCAGCGCTGCTCCACCTACCACCACCAGGAGGAGGAAGCGGTTACGAGCCAGCATCTTGTCATTTGATCATGTGATTGGCCTGCTGCGCCCCTGTCCATCAGCCATCCAGACCAAGTCCAATACCCTGCAGTCTGGACACAGAGCCAGGGAATCCATGTCAAACAGTATCTTTACCTTTGCCTGACACCCCTGAAAGTTTCATGCAATAAACTTGTTTCTCCTTGTGCTTCACAACATTTCAAATATTTCAAACATATCAGCAGATAAAGGTTTTCAACCCTTTATGTCATGAAGTTCACTGATATAATACATTTGCCCATATGAAACAAATGCTGATGAATGGACACCTCACGAAAGCACAGCTGAGCCATTCTGGCACAAGCTCCGGACTGTTTCAGGAGAATCAATTTGAGCGTGCATCAGATGTGTTGTCTCTGCTGGAAATACTCCAAGCGGTTCGGGCTAACTGGACAGCGTGTGCAGGCGCTGAAAACGCCACGTCCACTCGCTTGATGTGAATTTACACCAGACAACCACATTTGTCTGTCACATAGATGTAGTACTAAGACACTTTTCTGAAATCGTCATCTAATGTGATCATTTTTCAACTCATCGACTGGAGATGTGACAGAATGAAAACACATTTAACTGTCCAGCGTTCTTGATGTCATGATGCATCTAGTGCTGGTTTGTCATTAATAAATCAGACTTTGGTTGCTGCAGCAGAAAAAAAAGACAAAATTTCATCGCACAAATCAGTGGTGCAGATTTACACTTTGCCTGAAACAGAGCAAAAGTGCAAATTGGTTTGCAAATGCAGGGCATCATTGTCACTTAGAAAGTGTATGAATCAGAATCAGAATACTTTATTAATCCCGAAGGAAATATGCTTATGCATATTTGCTCTCTAAATTGCTTAATGAATATTAAGCTAGTGATGAGTTATATTAATGAGCCTCCCAAGCCATCAGTCCTCTGGCTTATTGCTAGTTACCAGCCAGCGAGCTTGTGTACTTTATTATTTCAGCATATTGAAGATTGCTGTTCTTATTCTGGTCACACTTGGCTTCATTATTTGTTTACAGCACAGCTACAGTTCCAGGTGACTTCAAGTCAAATGGATGTTACATGTCACTGGCCAGCAGCCTTTATTCAGTTTGAATTTTGCTGTAAATGAATATGGATCAGTCAGTATGGAGTAATGCTGCTTTAAATTCTTGACGATTTGGTGGACTACCTCTACTGCATGTGGTTAGGAGACTGAAACGGTGTCTGGTAAACATAGCTGATCCTTTGCCCTGGGTTCAATAACTAAAGAGTCCACCATAAAGCCAATGTATTATACTGAAATCTGTGATTATTCATTCTGAATTATACTTAAAAACTGCAACAGGTCATTCAACTAATGAGACTGTTTTAAGGCAAGACTGTAATGTGTAACCACCTAAATTACGGTTTGCAAATTTAAAAATGGTCGACTACCTTTGCAAACAGGATATTCAATTAATATTACTGCAAGGCACTTTTACGCATGGGCATTATGATCAGAGGCTGAGCCCACCTAAAGGTTTCCTGGAATCGATCCTTTTTTAGGTGGTCTTAAAAACAGAAGTATGACTGCATTTTAGGGTTGGGGGGGGAGGGGGGGTACCGGATGTTTCGGCATACATACACTTATGTTAAGCCCGGGTTGTTTTTTCAGAAGCCCGGGGTCTTTTGGGGTGTAATTTTTTTATAGTTAGATGCCTGGCTGATAACTGTATAAAACAAAAACTACACACAATATTCGAAGCACATAGTGCACACTGTGGGAATTTACGACTGTGCGTAAATCCCCCCTAATATTGGTATGATCCGAGCTCAGACACTAAAACGGAGCCAGGCAGACAGAGGAGAACTGAAGTTCGACCAGGTACCAAAGCAAATCATTCGTACTGTACAAATAATGTAAATATGACGGTGTATCACGAAAGATTGATATCAAACTGATCACTTGGCCCATATTACGTTACTTGCTCTTCGAGTGAATCAACAAATGGTGAAATGAAAAGCCGAACAACAACAATGCTGTTTCTTTAGAGACTCTTAGCTTACATGTATGTTTATTTCATATTTTCAGTTGTTTCCCTCCACGGCTAAATAAATCGGTTTCAGTAATGTACTGATATACAAGAATGGACATAAGGGGCTTCTTTCAAAGAAAAAACTTAGTAGTATTTTATATATTATGCTTTGTATGTTGTTCAGTATATTTCTATGCAAAACAAGAGGAATTTCAATACACAGCAGTATATTCACAGTTGAAACCAGATATTTACATACACTTTATGGAAAACACAAAAAAAATTTTCACTGTACAACATCAATTTAGAGTAAACTTGTTTTGTTTTGGATAAATAAATATTGAAATATCTTTTGAATTAGTTAAATGTCAGAATAAAGAGACCGAGCTGTCTATTTTTTATCACTTTCATCAAATTTAGGAGTACATATACACTAAGTTTATTGTTAATTAATAAGAAAACTCCAGACGATTCTGTTCTGAGCTGAAGAAGCTTCTGATAGGTTAGTAGAGTCCATGTGAGTAAATTGGTGGCACACCTGTGGATGCATATAAGGCAAAACACAGAGCCTGTTTCTTTAACATGGGAAAATCAAGAGATGTCAACCAAACACCAGGAACAGAACTGTGGAGCTCCACAGTTTGAATACAATTTGGTGCCATTTGCAATTAAGAAATACAGATAGAAAGTTAACAAATATGTTTTTTATATTTATCAATCTAAAAAAAATAAACATTTCGTCTGATTTGATGTTACAGTTAAAAAAGTGTTTGTGATTTTATCTGAAGAGTATGTAAATATCTGGTTTCAACTGTATATTTGATTATGTTGGTGTTTGGCTTGATTGTCAGAACAAAGACGGAGAGAGAGGAACAGAGAGAGAGAGAGGGAGAGAGAATGAGGACAGAGCAGATGGAACAAGAGCAGGTGAGACACACATGTTAGTCAAATGGTTGTTTACCAAAAGTATCACCGTATCATAGGTACTCGTGTATCTCGTACCTAGTGTTTCTTTTTAGGTTTGTTATTTTTTCAAATTCTGTATTTATTAAGTTATGCAGACTTGTTTGCACAACAAGGCTAAATAATTATATAAACTTTTCTAAATAGTGGACTTTGGTACAATTAAAAAATAAGTGTAGTGCAGCTCTATGATGATTTTTAGTGCTACTATCATCTAGTTCTGATTCTGGTTCTGTCTTGATTAAGTCCTAAGTAGTCCTGATTTTGAACTGTTGTGGTCCTGCTTTAATTCCGGATCAGTTCTGGGTCTGGTTGAATTGGGGTTTAGTCCTCGTGTCTTGATACAGCCCTGATTCTGTTCTGCCTTGCTGCCTAGTTAAAAACCTAGTTTAAGGTGTCCTGCATATGTGATATATATTTTTCGCTATATGAAGTCATTCTTTTTTTTAACAAAACTCAAAACAGAGCCTATTAATCTTTCAGCCATTTCTAACCCCCCCATCCCACATGCATACTACCCTTTAGGGCTAAACCCCGGGTGTATCAAATGCCTGCCTCCGCCTCTGATTTAATCCATATGCTTGTTATCTTTTTTTTTTAATGAACAAGGGAGGCCTATTTTAAGTTAACGGGGTGCTACTTTGCACATTGCTTTCACGTGGAACTCAAAAAATCCAAAATAAAGGAGTCAAATAACATTGAGTTATCTGGAGTCACGCTTTAACTAACAGAAAAAAAACGGAAGTACTTGAGAGATGCGGGACAGAAGGGTCTGTTAGCGTTAGTTAACTAGTTAGCTAACATTTAGCTAGCTGGCGTTCATTAATCTTTCATGTTGCCTCAGCAGTCCCGCTGACTGACAGCTTTATGGACAATACAGTACTGTTGCCAGTCTTATCAGGGTTACTGTGACTCGACTTCCTTTCACTTTATTCGTCTATACCTGTTGCTTCAAAGCGCTGGAAAAAGGGCAAGTTAATATGTTAAAGCGTAGCTTTGTGTTACCAAGCATGAATACATTAAGTTGCCACATCAACAATCCGACTCGCTGCAAAAAGGACGAACAAGGAAACACTAGTTGCACACTTTCGAGCAGCTACAATCATCAGCAAATGAATATTTTATTTTTTGTTTTCCTTACCTGGAAGAACTGACGCTGTCAGAACCACGGACAACAGGGTCAAGCACTTGAATCCAGCGCTTCTGTGTCCGCGATACGACTGACTGTGGACAGTGTGAAGAGACCGGCGTCGAGTCAGAGATGATGTACAGCACGACTTCCTGTCGCAATTTTCAAAATAAAGATGACCATGGCAAATATCCTGCCACATTTCGCACATGAACGAGGGCATCAATTGTGTGCTTTATTTTTAGATATGCAGTTTTTTTCTAATTCGCGAATTTAAGCAGGATAATAACTACCGTGAATATAAATTATGAAAGAGTGAAGTACGTTAAAACAAAAATAGTTCTCCTTTGGGTTTCCGGCTTTAATTTAGCACTCTTTCTCTAACTTAACAAATGTGTAAAGTCAGTCAAAAGCGTAGCGCGACTGCTCCACCTACTGGACCAGCAACAGCAATGCATGTTGTCGCCTATGAGATGTGTAGTTAAATACCTTTGATTGTAAATTAGAATCTTTTATTTAATCGTAATATTCAACAGTAGGCTACAAAGCAAGCACGTAAGCTACTTTCAGATGCTCCCTTTCCATAAGGAACGGCCACAACTGGCAGCTCCGCATGTTTGATGCTCTCCCTGACACAACACCAAAGAGGATAGTGTCTTGAATGTGATTTTATTCAAGACACTATCTGTCTCTGTGTAACCTGGTCATAGATTACATATTGTTATAATTACACAAAATGTGTTCTTTATACCTGACTGTTAGGACCTCCAAGCCTGTAGTTATATTCATTATCAGTTAGAGCCCCTCCTCATCTTTTCTTCTTCTTCGGTGCAACCGTATAAATACAGTGTACCCCTTTGGCCTCTGCCCCTTTTCTACAATTCCCCTGTGGGAGAGGAGCTACAGCGAGCAAGTTATTTACTTGGAGGTCTTTCTTTCTTTTACCTTTCTTTGTCAGACACAACGCAGGAACACACCGGTTACATCTGCATCTCATTTATGCAGAGAGCTGTATTTGGGCCATTTATAAAGCTGACTTCAAAAGTCAACCTTGCATTGGTAAGAATAGCAGCTCAGCATAGAGCAGGATGAGTGATTTTTTTAATCAGAGAGGTTTTTTTATATTTAAAAGTTGTTGATTGGATGATGCAGCGATGCCAGCATCCACACACATCTGCAGGTATTTATTGGATGAGTGAGTGCTTCTATAAGTGGCAATGCTGACACTACAGATTAGTTAAAGCACTCCTCTACTGGAAATTTTGGAATGTTAAGTCACTGTTAGTTTGAAGCACAGTTTTGCAGACAATTAAGCATTCCTATCTTGCATGGGTGTTTTCTTTCACCATCAGTCTTCACTTTGCTGACAGGTGTTTGGATGTGATATCAAAGTCCCCACAAGCAAACATTCCCTGAACTTCTAGTAGGTCCATGCACTGCTCTTTATGTCATAGACATAATATTGTCTAGCTAGTTAGCTGCTTAAGTATTTCGATTAGTTGTGCTCTTACCTATAAGAAATGAATTTAACATCAACTTGGTATTTATATCGGCCTAAGGTCACACAAATACCCTAAAACAGGTGTGTCAAACATAAGGCCTAGGGGCCACAATCAGCCTAGCAGACACCGTAAACCGGCCCACTGGACAGGTTTGGAAAATTTAAAGGAAGCTGTCAATTTTGGACATTTAACTGCAGTTAAATGTAAAACCTGGTTTTACGGGTTTCCCAACAGATAAAGACCTCTATCGTAAATATACTTCACCAAAGTAATTAAGTAGTAGATAAATCACAATAATGTTCAAGTTATTTAAAATTACAGAAAGATTTTATAGAAGAACTCCTATAAAATCTTTCTGTAATTTTACAGAAATTATTTATAGAAATGTTTTTTCACAGAGAGGAACTTTTTTTTTCTACAATTTAAGGCCAAAAAGTCATGCTTAGAGTACTATTTCTTTATCACATGGAAATCCAGACATGCTGTTGAAATTTGCTCCTTCCTTTCTAATATAAAGATATCTCTGGCATTAAATGCACAGTTCATCTTCTTTACAATGACAAAAGGGAGCGCTTCACTGGTCCTTTAAGATCAAAGTGGGATGTATGTGGTCCGGTATTTAAATGAGTTTGACAGCCCTGCCCTAGAATATCAATAGTTCCCACTGTGTCTGCGTGGGTTCTTTCTGTTTACTCTAGTTTCCTCCCACAGTTCACAAGAAAAGATAGATATCATTAAAATTTGCAGTCCTGTGTGACCTTCTAATGATAGAGACAAGTCCAACTTAATTTCTTTGTCTTTCACAATCACTGTTCAAATGTAACTTTCAAAAGTAGTTTCAAGTATTTCACAGGAAAAGAGACACTCCTTTCCTTAAACATACTTGCAAGTTAGGCAAAATTAAGCTTCATAATACAGCCTCCACCCTGAAAAGTACAGTGTACTTATAATGTAAAATGGAGAAATATTGTTTGTTTTGTGCAAAATTACCAAGAAATTATGCAGTACTTAAAATTACTTATGGAGTACTTAATTTACTAACAGTATATTTATTTGTTTCCTGTAGAAACCAGATTTGTTACCCCCCTTACTCTAGCTTGCATACAATTAAGTATCTGTAGTTAAATATAATTAATATGTAATATCAAATAAAAGAGAGCAACATAATACATAAGACCCTCACAATAGTCTGATTAAGTGTAAATAACATAAATAATTTAACTAAATGTTGAATGTTATTGTTCAGCACACAAGACTGACAGCACACAATGTGCTTTGAGGTCATTGAAATTCCTTTTAATTACAGGGGAATTACAGCCTTAATCATAGGCTATAATATGAGGGGTTACTTTGTAAAGGTAAGCCTGAAGCATGCTAAGAATAAGCACGAATGGTCCAAAAGTCAACATGCAGAGATAGTTAATGGCATTCAGAAATTAATTTAAGTTACTTCAGCCGTTATAAAATCACCAGCAGTGGAGTGCACCGAATGACATTAACTCAAACTTTAAATTCTTCTTATGTAGGAAACAACAGCAGCCACAGTTTAAATAAATGAAAGCACAAAGATTCCACTGTTATGCGTTATTTTCAGACTTCTATTGAGAAATATCAAAATTTAAACATTATTTTTATTGTGTGTTTTCTTTTGTTTTGGTTTTATTTTGCCAAAGTCAGACATATTTGATGCCGTTCTAAAAGTGCCATAACACTTCCTTTATGATTTAAATGAAAATGTCACCACTGAAAAGTTTTGAAAAATGACACGATTGGTTCAAAGTTAATGGTCCGTTTCTTTCTAGACTACTGCTGCCAGTGTCCCGCAGCGCTGCCGTCTGGCTGCCACTAATCAGTGTCATCCTGCCTGCAGCACACCACTGTCTGCTCATGTGGTTAACGAATTCTGCAATGACTTAACTCGCATTCAGCCTCGGCCGAGGCAAGACGCTGAGACTTTTGCTGATAACAACATCTTATTTCAGGACGCATTTTCAGTCTGCTTACCTGCTTAACTCACAGCTCCATTGTTTATTTCAGTGTTTTCAGCCTTTGTCTACCAAGACAAACACACTAGTCAGTTCATCGCTGAATGTGATGTGGATTTAGTGGATACATCGATATGTTTTAAGAATGAAAAGTTACATTTTGCCGCAATCGAATTTATATTCATCAAATATCTGTACAGAAGATAAAGAATATAAGAACATGAGTATAAAAAAATAAATTCTCGACAAGGGAGAACTCCCACTCTTGGTCTTACTAGGCGGTGATCATGAGATAGTCAAGAATGAAAGGGATCCTAGAGATCTTTAAATAAAGTTAAGTTAAATTAAAAGTCAAAAATAATCACACTTTTATCTCGTGGTTGAGAGAACAATAAGTTTCATTTAAAAGTTTTTTCATCAAAAGTTTTATTTTTAGATCATCTGCAGTGGTTTGGCTGCCGGAAAATACCTTTGTGGAAGTTTTAGGGACATTCCAGTGTCAACATCCCCTTTATGGCATTCACTTGTGGTCAATGTTTCTTACAGATCTGTTATTGTTTTAATCTTCTGCTCTTAATGTTTAGTGTAGTTGTCATTTTTTACTGATCAAGGGACATGTCTTGTCATAAATCCTTAATCAACCAATTAGCATAAGTTAGCCAAAATGCCAATTTTGCAATCAATATCTTTCTTGATCTTTCTGAAACTAAAATACAGTGGCATTGTTTTTTGTCTGGAAGCAGGTTTTTAGCTCCATTCACTCCTATTCAATGAGGATTTCTTGTAACTAGAGCCAAACCACAATTTAAAATTCTGCTATTCTGGTTCCGGCAAGGGGCTCACAGTTGCTAGGCGAAATCAGTCACAAAGGAGTTGCCACGCTAAAAACCACCTTGTGATTGCTTTGGATACCCTGATCGTCAATAGTTTGCATGGAAGATGCCAAATTATATGCAAGCACTCACTCACTAACTAGTAGCTGAGTCGTAATAAAACTTGAAGAAACACAAACCATAAGAGGCGAATATTCACCAGGCAGAACCATCTTCTTTTCCAATTTGTGTTGCATGTTTCACAGTCTTCTTAGTTTGTATACAAGTCAAATAGAAACTGCCAGAGCAACCTCCTAGCAACCAAAACAATTGCAAGGAGAGAAAAAATGAGGCGACCCTTGCACAGCTAATATGTAGATGTAAGAAGGCACTTCCTTGCCCTCACTTCAGTGTGTTTGTTAATACAACAGATGAGTAACCCCAAATTCGGTTACACCATTGTTCAATAACCCTTTCCTTTGAAAACGTTTTCATGGAACAAGCTGAAACGACTGTTAGCCACTGGATCAGCATTCTTGGAGGAAGCTCTCAGGCCCTCAGTGGCTCATTGTCTGTAACTTCCTCCTGCTTCTTCTGCAGTAATGTCTGAAGGTACGGCAGTCATATGAGCAGAGCTGTTGAACGTGCAACCACTTAACTTGAACAGTTTCCTTCCCACTCTACTCTGCACCAATGGAAGTCATGGGATGGGGATGACAGGGATTATGCGGGTGATTGGGAATATCATGTCTGTGCTCATGTGTGTGCATTTGTGTTGCCACGTGAAAACCTTTAAGAAGTTAACTGAGCAAATGTGTACTATGTTTGAGTGTGTCTTTTTTT